TGGATTGGCATGGTGTCACCAAACGCGTTGCGGTAAACTCGTCCATACGTCCGCCGTCTCAGCGCTGTCTGTCCTTCGAAAATCGACATTCAAACAAGGGAGTCCCTTTTGTGTTTTCTTGACGGTCTTTCTCTGCTTTTTCGCCATTGGCATGCTATTGAGGACCTTCACATCTCCTCCATACCCCTCTAGAATCTATCGTAATCGCTTCTTTTAAATTCGGAGCTTGCAATTAGAAGGCAGCACATTAGAAGTAAAGCAGAGGAGGTTGGTCTGCCGGGAAGAAAAAATCACGAGAAATAGTCCAAAACCAGTGAAATGAGACTCCTTCCTTGCTCGTTGTTGTGCATTGGTGCGACTCTCTCTGCTCAACGGCTAAAGTCAGATGGTGATGAATTAGCCGCGCGTGCGTCTACGTCCTTCCCACTAGGTAGTTTACCCTTTTTTGGCTAGAGATCAGATGGCGAAAGGGGGAGGCGTGCCGCGACGTTAGCGGCGCGGGGACAGCTTACTAGGCCGCCGGGGCATATTCTTTGCTGCGAACTGCGTGTCGGTCCGCACTATTGGTTAGGAGGTCTGCCTCTCTTCCGGGCACGCATGCTTCAACCTCCGATCTTATCGTGGAATCCTTCTGTGAGCGCACGCTTCGCCCATCGCAGTACTTTATATGTGCTTCGTTAATCGTGCTTATTATTTCCCACATTTCTCAAAAATGATCCAGCTCTCAGATGGGATAAGGGCGGAGATGCTGCTATGGCAAACGACCACTTCCAATTCTGACAAAATCTCGCCCACGCCGATCAACCCTTCCTCCCTACCGAGTTGGTCTGTTGGTCATCCAGACTTGCCGGAGTATAAAACACTGTACATCGGATGGCTTCTGCAAATAATTGCATAAGCTGTACTCTAGAATTCTGAGTGGAAGTAGAATGCGCGGCGCAACCCCGAAGGGACTGATCGACGCCGAAAGCTTTCTTCTTTCATCATGACTGTGATTCTTCAGACAATACAAGAATCCCTGGCGGGATTACGCATTGATTGTGTGCCACACAGACAGGCTTCTGATCCATAGTCCTTGGCCTGAGGGATCTTTCCGTCGCCCACCATTTGTGTTCCTCTCCCCTAACTCGTAGCGCAAAGATTCCACTGCCAGCGCGAACGATATGAACACTCTTCGGCCCATGGAAGGGAAGATATGAATTTCCAACACACATACAACCCGGACATGCCTTGGCGGATTATAAATAGTAGGAAAATACGCAGCGAAATAAATCCCATAAACATTTATGAGCGTGCCAAATGACTTCAACTGACAATAGTTTATCAAACAATCAGTCATGGGTCGATGAACACGTTGTGCCCGATGATTCACAGTGCCATCAAATTGCGGAATTCCCTCCCCGTCCTTCTGACTGGGGCGCTTTGAGTGTCAGGTGCAATGACAACTGCAAACTTTCTGTCGATTGGCCGGGGCCACTAAACTTTGTTGCTATTTGTTTTGGGTCGGCGTGCGTACCTGCAGGTGGCCTTCCCTGGGAGTACGCGAAGCGTATCATCGATTAGGATCGCAGTCCGTAGTTGTTGTACGTGGAAAGGATATTGTGGTAAAGCTGAACGTCTAATTTTAATGAATAGGTCACTAGATTCAAATTTTTAACCCATCCATAAGAAGTGCCCAAAGTGTCCCGAGTGAGTCAAAAATTGTGGGTCACGAGAGTTAACGATCGATGAGTTCACATTGCCTTGTGCATGTTCATTCATTTCTTCTTATCACTATTATTCTTAAAATTTTGAGATTTCCAAGAATTTTTGAAATTGAGAATTTTTGCGAAGAGCATTTCAATCTCCATGAATACCCTTTCAATGTTATTGTATGTATATGGCACTGGTAAACTGCTCACGCTATCGCTCGCACCCTTGAGGGCGGAGCCTGCCCGGTGGGCGGGGTCTGAGAGATGAAATAAGAGAGCAACTCGACACCTTTTAATTTTGCCTTAATTATATTTCTTTTTCACAATGGACATAAACTGTTCTTTTTTATCTTTCGATATAGAAATTAGATTCAAATAGAATGAGAAGATTTTTTTTGATGCGAATAATTTTTACCGAATGAACTCTGGTAACAGTTTGCAGGGAAAGTCAGACGCATGCCACACAACTTCTTATCAACTTGGCCCGTAATAACTTCGTTGTTTTTGACTGTGGGATACTCTCATTTCTACGTCTACTTCCCTAGAATTCCACTTGATTACAGTTAGCAGCTTCTAGGTAAGCAAGAATCGCGCCATGCCTATTTGCGCACAATACTTGACCAATACTCTGTAGCCTAATTTGCCTCACTTTTTGAATAGCTTCAATCTCCTTAGACTTCTCTTTCACTTGCTTCATCACTGAGTCATAAATTCCGTTTGTGAAAAGTTTTGGCGAATTTCCAGACTTTTCTTTCTCAAAAGAATTCCTGCTCGCTTCTTTCCTACTCTACGGACAACGTTATTTTGCCTGTCCTATGTCTTTTAACCCTTTGACGCGCCGTTATGAATGCGTCACTTCACTTCTTTCTAAATTTTTTCATCAATAATCATTAACTCTCCAACAATTTCACTATTAGTAATTAGCGCATTATTCCGCGAATTCGATAATGTATTTGTGTAGTTTTAAACATGAAAAATGCCAAAATAAACCCCAAAAACGTGTCGCCACCGAGCGAAAGTGTGGCCCACCGGCGGGCCACACGGTCGTCAAAGGGGTAAAAAGTATGAACGATTGCGTATGTTCGGAAAAAATAAAACGAGAAGAAACTTGATGGTACTGGAGGTGGCGCACATACAAAATGAATGCATGAGAAATAACAATGATTTTTTATGAACGACGCGCTAACTGCTGTCATGTGACCGTACGACATAAGCTGGGCCCATTTCGTTAGCAGTCGTAATCTCAACTTACTCGACGGCTGACTTTCATATAAACCCGTTCAAGCAGGTAGGTTCCATTCATCTTATTATACTTGGGAGGGGTGAATGATGCTTGTAGAACTACGAGAGAAGAGCACACGGTGGCCGGTACTTTGCTCAAAGAGCCTTTCTGATTTTCATTCGGAGCTATGTTACCAAGGAGGGCGTATGTGGTGCACTATGGTAGCGTACAGTAAATCGAGTTTTCCTTAGGGGCAAAGAAGCGGCGCCTTTCCATGGAGAGGGGCGGAATCAAGTGAGTGAGCCAGTTCTGTGCTTGGTAGAGCATGCTGAGCTATTTTTGTCCTCTTAGCGTTTCTTCCTTTGCGAGCTTGTAGTCCTGCTCACTTCATCGCCTCTGTTGCGATATGAATGAATGAAACTTTGAGAATTAACTGCGAAGCATAAATAATTACGTCAAATGTTCCCTCTTCAGTAAATTCCTCCAATCCAAACCCATGTTGTGTGGAGACCTAGAACCGTATCGCAGCTCGAGGCGAAAGCACCCAGATTTTTTTTACATTCACTCTTCGATTTTTTACAAGCATATCTACCCACCGTAAGACGTATGCCTCGAAGTGGAATTTTGCCATCTTTGGGGGGCGTTGCGTGTGAGAACTTAGAACTATCTATAGTCCGCGTGGTTCAACAATTGCTTGTGGCCTGAGTTAAACTATGAGAATACTTAAATGCTTTTGTGAGCCAGGGGAATGCACCGGTCAGAGGAAGGCCAGTACTTCGAAGGGGCCCATCACGCGCAGATAGCAGGACGAAATCACTGCAGTGCGCGCTGCACTCGTCAGGGACCCCTGCTTTTTTGTACGCGCGGCTGAAACTCCTGTCAGTACCAGGGAAGGGCAAAGCAGATAGGTTGGTGGGGGTCCAGAATAAGGTGCCGTTAAAGATGGAATGTGCGAAGTGATAGATAACAATCAATGGTCCTTCCATTTGAGAGCGCAGGGCGAGTGAAGAAGAGCTGGCTTGCAATTATCCCTCCTAGACCAAAAAGTGCTCATTCAGGCTGAATAGGCACGGGAAAAACCTTAGATTCTGACTGATAATCATGACGGAATTCTTTTTCGTCTTACCGTAATCACATTGCAGTACTAATGCGCCCTGTGCACTATTGAGCGAGACGTGCTTTTCATAAATCTCGATGCTTTCGCGACGCGCGCGTTATATCCTCGTTGCAACTATTGCGTGATTTGTCGATGATTTACTAAGGATCATGGGGTCTCATCCAGTAAGGGGGCATTGTGATGCAACGTCAAGTGGCTGCCCTCACCCCCACCCCCTAGACTGCCTTCACTCCCCCTGGCTTACGGGGTCCCGTACTTCAAGAAACCTGTGCGCCAGGGGGAGTGTAGGCAGTCTAGGGGGTGGGGGGGTGAGGGCAGCCACTTGATGCCCCCCTTACTGGATGAGACCCAGGATCAATTTTGGAGCTTTCATCCTTCGCAAGTATAAGAAAACACAAAAAATCCATCCAACTACAGGTAATCAAAAATGAGGTGACAAAGTGCACTAGCGCGAAATCCTCAGAAAATCTATCGCTTGTGCTTTTGATGTACTCGATGCTACCTGATGGCATGCGTATCACTGCACGTCATCGTCGTGTGAGAAAGTGGAGACCCAAGGTGGAGGGTTACTATTTTTATACCATGTTTTCGTTCCGCGCTCAAGTGCTTGATCTGAAAATTGCTGCCCACTACAATTTTTTAATTCAGACTTTCACCTGCCTGAAGTCCTACGACATTCCCCTGTGTTTTTAGCACAAAATGGATGCGAAAAAACACTGCCGACTACGCGCGCCATCTCGAAGGTTGGCCGCTCGCCGCGCGGCGACTGGTTCGCGCGCGACATGTTTTTTTTTTTTTTTCTGTGCGCGCTAGCGACGTGCGCACTGGGCCGTTTCCGACTGTCGGCAAGCTGTCCGCACTCTTCGTTATGTCGTGATAACGCGTCAATTTTCTATTCTTCCGCAAATCAGCTACGCTCTTTCAGGAACACGCATCTGATTATCTTATCGCAGGAGAATGGCTAAAACCTATGATTATCTCTTCAAGGTTGGTGTTATGATGAAATTTCCTGCTTTTTATTACACCTGTAACATGATTTATGCGGCACGTTAATGTTATCGAACTCTTTCTTATCTGATGTTACAATGCGTTTTCAACAATCTCTTTCTTTCGCTCTTTTCACTTCGTGCTTTTGAAACGTCCGTTCAGCTTTTACTTATTGGCGACAGCGGAGGTTGGAAAAACATGTGTGTTGTTTCGATTTTCTGACGACTCCTTCAATAACTCGTTTATTTCTACCATAGGTAAGTTGATATCGAGTCTTGTTTCGATGTTTCAACCATATTTGTGTTTTTTCAGGAATTGATTTCAAAATTCGAACGATAGATCTCGATGGTAAAAAGATCAAGCTTCAGATCTGGTGCGTTCTATTTCGAATTTATCCTCTTTTATTTGTTCCAAATCAAGCCAATAGCAGTTTCCTGGCAATCTTGGTGCTTACTTCCAATATCGACTTCCACTTCATCACCTCTCATAAAAAAAGTCGCCGTCATTCTACTCTTGTTTCTGAAACACAATGAAAGCTAGCCCTTATGTTCATGTAATGCGGATTCTAAGCCTTTTCACCATTAATTAAAATTAGGGGTTTATATTGCAGTATTTCTATTAAAGTTTGATTCTATGTTAAGGCGGTTGTTAGATGAAGTCTCATAGTGGGCTCTGCGGTTTCAAAACGTAGTTGTCAGAGGTGGTGCAGATAAACCACTGCAGGAGTGCAACAACGCCTCTCTTTGTCGGCTTTTACTGGTAACACCTGACCCTGATAAAATGTGGCATCTTTCAACTTATTTTGTGAACGTGGATAAGAAGGAGACGATTCGATAGAAATGTGGGGAAACCCTCTACCGAACATTGGATTTGGACACAAAGGAGCTCCCTTAACTGCTCTAGCTGGCTCTACTGAGGAAAGGTTTGATTTCTGCAGTTACTGGACTGGTTCGAAATGATTTTCGGTGAAAATCCAATTTGTAGGGGCACTCCTTGCTATCTTATCCGTAGTCCTAGAGGCCGTTCTTTGGTCTGTTTTCTCGAACAACAAGGATAACACAATAAGTGAACGACTCATTTCGAGCGTACTTTTGATAAGGACTTCTGAACGTCCTACATTCCACACATCCTGCCCACACTCATCCAATTTTCTGCCCCATGTCATTCACCCTGGAGCTCCTCCACCCTTAGGCCGAGGCAAGGGTCTCCGTTCCCCTGGCTCAGTACCGTTTCTTAGAACAGTTGCAGTCCAAAGTTTGGGAGCACATAAGGATTACTTCCACACTACAGGTACTTATCAGAAGTATACTTTGAGTGAGTCGATTCGTGAGGTTCGGTAGGACGGAAAGTGACTTTACGCTTTTCACTGCGGAATCCCCAGGTCCACCACTAAGCGGCAGTGGACGTGAGGTTTCTGCAGCAAAAAAATTTTCGCGTGAGAGAAGCTGAAAGGTCACTTTCAGTCCTAGCAAACCACACTGTATTCTTTGTTGACTATCCACAATTGTGTCTAAAGTACCTAGGCTCACCTAAATACAGGGGTGGCCAAAAAAAAAGAGACACTCAGCCCATGGCGCACATCATCGAACTTTTCGTCACACAGGGAGCCGATGTTAATGAAAGTTTTATGGCGTTATATTCCTTAGTTGTTCCTCCGTAAACAGAAGCAAGCACTCCTTCACTGCCCCTGCCGTCTCCAGAATATGACGTCATCTGCCGTCACCGTCGAGCTCAACGAGGCTTACCGAAATCGCTCCGACCTGAAGCTGCTACACAATTTCCTCAGTGAATTAATTGTTGAATAGCTTCCAGAGACATTAGCTGTGAATGTGCAAAACCGCTTTTGACCTGCGTTTCAGAGACGTCGTAATCGTCTATGGTATCTCAACGACCTCGTTGAGATCGTACCGCGCACAATGCTTCCGTGGGAAAATCTTCTGATGTCGTCGGTGTAGAAGGCTGTTGTGTAGCTTGTTGATAGATTATAACGTGCTCTTCAATATTCAGTTGGGGTCATTTGGTTTGGTTTCGCGACGCGTAAATAATTCCGTTTTGAATGTTGAGTGAAGTGTCTCTTTTTTTTTGGCCACCCCTGTATATTTCAGGCATAATGTTCATTGCTAACATGCTGGATGCAATCACATGGGATCACCATCTTAGTTTATCGGAATTTATTCGTCAGTGGAAACTTTATGAACTACTTGTCAGCCTTTATTTCTCAGCCTACACAAGGCGGAAAGTGGTGTAGTGGCAAGTGGCACGCTTACCACGCGAGCGGTCCGGGGATCAAATCCTGGGTCGTGAGTCGCCCGGGCCAACCAAGCCTTCCATCCCTCCGGGTTAATTGGTACCAGACTTGTCTGGGAGGATAAAAACACTGACTTGTACATCGGCTGGCCCCCGCAAGTCATTGTATAGGCCACATCGCATTCAAACGCCACTACGAATGTACAAATGGAAGTAGAATGCGTGCCGCATCCCAAAAAGGGATTGATCAACGGCAAATGCTTTCCCTTTATCCTTTGTAACTTGTGCAATAGCTATAGCTAAGTAAATAAACTACTCGGCTTCCTTTTGTCAATTGAACATTACTAAACAGTTGATCAATATCACCATGATTATACACGCGTCCATGTGTGTAGAAATGATATATGCAGCATTTAGTGACGTTCACACTTAGGATCCTATTCGATTCTCATCAGTTTGAACCATTTGTCCAAAAAGATCCCGTTTCAGGGACACAGCAGGTCAAGAACGTTTTCGAACAATCACCACAGCGTATTACCGTGGAGCTATGGTATTTCATTTTCAATGTGTGTGATCGTGCAATATTGTAACTTTCTAGGGTATTATGTTGGTCTATGACATCACAAACGAGAAATCGTTCGATAATATAAAGAACTGGATTCGAAACATCGAAGAACATGCGTCACAAGTTTGTTTCTTATCACTACACCTGAAATTCACTTAATTTGCTTGTGCGAAACATTCCTCCACCATGGATTCATTATAGGACGTCGAAAGGATGATTATTGGAAATAAATGTGACGCCGAAGATAAGCGACAAGTTTCAAGAGAAAGGGGTCAGCAGGTGCGAAATCTAAATTCTCCTTCCTACATCCAAATCATTTTGTGCGCTCCAGTCTGCGCCTATCTCTAAGTTCCTCGGATTGCCTGTGAAGGCTGTGTGCTCTGTTTTTTTTTCTTCGCTGCACAGAATGTCACAATTGGTGATCAGTTAATTGCCGCACGACCACTTTGCTTATAATTTCGGCCTTGTCTCGTTAAATTCGCAGCAAAACATCACAGTCTTGGCAATTTGCTTCAGGAAACTTCCCCTCTCATAAACAAGCGGTGTCGGTCGTGCGAATTTGGCAGTTCTCGCGCACGGGTGTCGTCTGCTCGTTCGTATATGTCACTGTTGAAACGTGGCAATGAGCGTTTTCTGTGCCAGCGCGCAACCCGCAGTGACACATTATTGGGTTTTGTTGGATGACCAGATGCGTTGCGATCGCCATTTCAGCACCGCACCAAAAAAGTAAAGCAGAAAAAAGGAATTGTTATTTGTGAAAACTCTGCAGTAGATTCATTCATTATGTTCAATTATTGAAAAAGTGAGGGCAGCAGGCATCCATAGAGCTTTCAAAGAATTGCTTTACTTGAACTCTTCCTTGTTCACTGCCTTTGCAAATCTTCGACTATTCGGCCTTGCTGGAACTCTCACAAATGTAGCAGAAATGGTATTTTTTATCCAAAGTTTTCTGAATAATAGGGCGCCACACAATTTATTTTCTCTCTTGTTATTCAAAGAACTAACGGTAAGTGTTCTCTGGTGACAAACATTGCATTACAGCTCGCAATTGAGTACGGCACAAAGTTTATGGAAACATCAGCAAAAGCGAATCTCAATGTCGAAGAAGCATTTTTCTGCCTTGCAAGGGATATCAAAAGTAAAATGGAGCGCGGACAAGCCCACGCAGTTTCACAATCAGGTAGATTTTCACTTTTCTCTTGATTTTTATACTGAGATGCAGTGCGAAGCAGGTGAGCATGTGTCGAGAAAATTTGGCAGGCAATTCTACACTAGTCCCTCTTTTTTAAGTTACGTCCGACAACATACCCTCCTCCAAATCCTACCTTAATTCTCTCTCAAACTATACCTGATCTTTTCAGAAGAAAATCCAAGCAAGAGTTACATATATACCGCAGTTGAAACAGAAACCTTTCGCGAAAGCTTTTGAGATGTCCGCTATCATTTATATAGCTCTTACTTATAGATGCTGTGAGACCTATTTTAATCCTTACCGAAGATGCTTAGCAAGCCCATCCATGACGCCTCTTAATAGAGATTAGCATAAAGCCCTTGTCGAAGAACCCCCAATTTTGGCTCATCCCGGCACACAGTGTTTTGTGTTGATCAATTCCTTTGAATGTCACCACAGATTCTACTTTTTGGGGGATCGTGAAGGCAACTGCACGCTATTTTAAGGCAGTACATGGGTTTACGGACTACTTGATTTTGCCTCAATGGTCCTGCAGGATGGATAGAGCACAGACGATTAGAGAACGGTTGAATGCCCTAGGCCAGGGTGAATAACGGTCGAGGAATTCCTCGACCATAGCTCTCTACCATGCGAGAGTAGTGCCGAGAGTGAACATCCGCGCGGAGAGCACAGACGGCACGCGCATGGCGAGTGTGAATGTCCGCGCGAGAGATCGTGTCTGATCGGGCAGAGAATCCTCGACGTGCCGTTGAGGAATCCTCAAGCGATATTCACCCTGCCTAGGTCTAAGCCTTGAAGAGGAGAGGGACCTACCAGAGAGCGCAGAGGCGGTTTAAAGGGCTGAGTTCAAGTAGTCCGCCGACGCAGTAGTGTAGTAGGGTAGTTTATGTGCTTGACGAAAGCATCGCGTTCGTGTTAGCCTATTTCACTAGCTTTCATACTTGCTGTGTTATTCATATATGACGAAAATGATGGGGAATGACGGAAAATAAAAGAAATTCTTGAATTTTTTCATTAAATTGAGAAGAAGGGAACGACAAAATCATGAAATAGTTCGCTGGATTATTCTGACACTGCCTTGCGCATAGGTTATTAGGTCTGATAGTATCTGTGCGCCTGATCTCTTGATGCTCCACCCTTCCCTTCTACTTTCATCTTGCGATTCTAGCATGTTTCATTACGGCACACATGTCACCATTCCTCCTTCCTCCTTCCCCTTCGCGTGCCAAGCTTGATAAAAATCTTCTTCACATGCTTGTACGCCGTGTGATGCCTAGTGATCCACCCATACAGGACAAGTTACAGTATTCCCAAGACAAGCTTGCGAGCATTGCTTCAGTTACCCTGTAGGCTGTTGCGCTACTCGGTAACGATCGACAAAAATATTCCATGTGACTCGGAAGTCCAGCGATTGCGGACACGCTATAGCTCGCTTTATCAACAGTGAAAATTTCAAGTTGGCAAGTTGTCGAGAGCGAATGTCTTTCTGTATGAACATGAAATTTTGGGTGCCGTTGAACAAAATATGCTCCCCTTTGTTGTAATGGGCTTTGCATTTCTCACACAAAGTTTGGAATTAACTGATACAAAAAGCTTTGTATAATATATGGAGGGTGTCAAGGGCTGTATCCGAAGAGACGGCTACCATATCAGTTTTACGTTTTTCTGGATCGTTCACGTAAGATGCATCCGGGCAGTCCCATAACCTGCAACAGAGATAGCGACGAAGCGCCATATTATCATGCTGTTCAAAGCCCACACGTCGTTTGACAGGGATCCGTTTTGACAGCTTTCTTGAGCGCTCTGTTGACTGCGACTAATGCCGTCACTAGGAGCTGTTGTATTTCGTGATTCATTTTCCACTCAAAAATCCCTGCAATAGTAAAGCTCGCATCAAACATGCTCTCCGAAGGCGTGGCAAGGGCTTCGACTGGGGAAGGCAGCCTTCTTCCTTTGTATGAAGGCCTGGAAAATGCTTGTGCGCCCTCGGGAAATTTGTCACTCATAGTTTGAAGGAAAATTCAATCCAAAAATTGAGTGTCCTAGTCAGTGGGACTCGGTTCATCCCGTACAATTTAAATATATATTCTTCTAGAGATTCGAACTTAACTGAATGGTGGGAGCGAATTTCGGGCACTCAATTGCAGCATCCTTATGCTTTTGTGGTGGGATTATGTGCGTAATTTCCTTAGCGATTTCGAAGTAAACACGGCGATACATTCCGCGTTCCCTTAAATACAGCGGTCACGATTATCCGGCTGAATCGAGATAAGGTGCACTCATGTCCGCCCACAACTAAAGACATGGTGGAACCTTTTGAACTTGTCGTATGGCATCCTATCACTTTCACGTTGAGATTAGGGGTCAACCTCCTGTTCTGTCTCAGCAGTAAGCTCCTCCGCCACGAAAACAGATGTGCGGAGGGTTACTTTTCTGGGGGTTTTTGATGGTTTCTTCTTATTTTTACATCTCGCGACCATTCTTTACCAATTCAGCTTTCATATTTCATCTGGATGAAAGCGTAGTGATCACTGCTTTTGAGCGCCGAAGTAGAGATTAGGCTCAAGCATGCGTCGCGCAATCTGAGGGAAAAGGATCGTGTTCAGTATTGTTTTGAGAATTTAGAGGGCTCAGCATTGTAGGGTTCGCAGAGCATGCCTTGTAATTTTCACCGTCTCCATGTCCTAGCTGGCTAATCCCTTTCGAATGCATTAATATAAACATGGAACTAATCCGTCTCGTCATTGGGTAATATCCTAATCTCGACTGCAATGTTCTTGCGCCGCTTGCGTTGTTTTTAAGGTTGCTCCGGTCATTGTTGTTTGTTCCTAATGGCTCTGAGTCGCTATACAAAATCTGCTGTCGGTACATAAAACGGCTCAGACGCTGAAAATTCATGAGCCGTCTCTCCGGAGGAAAACAGAAAGAGCGAGCAGCATCCTCAAGAATTGCCTGGAGCGCGAAGATCTAGTTAGTGTCTTGCAACAACGCCAGTGTGCCATTATCTGCAACTTTTGCCATCTCCGAATCCCTTTCCTTCTCTTTGATTCCAGGCATTTCAAGTTGGATGACCATAACTTTTCTCCGACTCTCGCCCCCTATCTTTCCCGCTCCGCTCATTGTTGTTGATTTGGGGTAGAGGTAGGTATGGGTCGTTATTACTAGTCCTCCTCTGTTGCTAAGAATGATATAAAGTTTATCACTTCGAGAATTCAATACTCAAGCAAGATGGGAGAGTTTGGAAAATCACTTAGAAAGTTTTTGTGGTGTCTACGGTTGTTCAAACCGGCAACTGAGACCCGAAGCTAAGCTAACACATGTCGGTAAGTGGGGATATGTCTAGTTTTAATGTGGTCTGTCGATTCTTCACTATCAACTGAAAAAATGGCTATCACCATTCATCTCCCCTGGCTCTTGCATTTATTTATAACCAGATTGGTCCCCCGGCAAGCGCCGGAACCTCCCTACCTTGCGTAAGCTTTCCCTTCTCCCTCCTCTCCTTACTCTCCCCTCGTTCCCGAGTAAATTATTACATAGATATGAGAACATCAACCAATCAAAGTCACTGTCAATACTCTGCCATAAAATAGTAATTCTCACCTGAAGTACACACGAATTTGTCGATCAGCTCACATATATCGACGAAAACAATCGCGCGACCTCTGCTCGCCGGCTACCACAGCATCACCTTGTGGAATGACCGAAAGTGTGCTAAGTGCGTGTTTATGTAGCCGTTGGGGTGTTATCACAATCATGCCATTGCAAAACACTAATAGCTAAAGTCCTGTGAGCTACATGATTCTGTTAGCGGTTTGTTTATCCCATGAGCTTCCTTCTCACTCACTTCATTTTGCGGACGGACACACATACATACATACATACACACACATACAGACATACAAACCGACACACAAAGTTAGCGCTTTATAAAATAGAAGGATAATTTCATCTTTTGTAGGTTCTTCATATCATCTTGTTTAATGTTGTTGCGTTATCAATCAGATTATGGTCGTCCCTCTCATTTCAGGCCGCGTCACAGTCGGCGGTCAAAACCAGGCGAAAAAAGGTTTATTCAGTGGATGGAGCTGCGCGATACTATGAGCGTTTGCGGACTTTTTCTGTCTTTCTTTGTTTTTTTTTTCTTATTTGAATCTGAAAGCGTGTCCAGAGTTCGTTTCTAATATAATGCAAACCGGTTGTATATTTGAAAATTTTAGATGGGTTCTGCATATTTTGGGCTCGATGCTCTTAGTTGTTGTTTTCTCTGAGCTCGCGTTGAAGCGGGAAACCTCGTTTTTTACTATACGTTTCGAGGTTCAGGTTTTATTGAAAGCAGTTGTGCCCACAACTATACCATAATATTGTTAATAGCTGACTAATATTAATTGGCCTCGCTTGTACCTTCTAAATGAGTTTACCGGTATATGCTGTTTGAGACATTTCTTCGAAATATTGTCTGTCATCCTGCATATTCCTCGTTTCTCAAAGCGATTCCGGTTCGAGTGGTATGCCAGTGCTATCAAGCCTTTGTCTTTTTTTTCTAGGAATTGTTCCGTTTTCTACCCACGTTTAAATCGTCGCCTTCTGCTTAGCTTGTTGAAATTCTTGCGTATATACTCCTTTTTGAGTACTTGTTTTCTTCTTGTTTATGCCTGCACAATATGAATAAATGTTTTCCTGAACTGTCAATTTCACTGAGAACGGTTTTCTATCCGGAAAGGGTTATGGATCAGATGATTTTCAACGTAAATTTTTGCTCACATTGTTCAACAATTCTGAAATGGGAAACCATCGCTTGGACCAGCGACCACATTCTCGCGCTAAGATTTTGTCGCCATTTCTCAAACGAACTTGCTTTTCGACGAAATATTATTATTAGGCCGGGAATTTTTCGTGCGAGCCTTAATAACCAATTTAAATGATAGTAGTTGATTGAAATATTTCAGTATTGACATTTTTGGCGTAGGCAAATATCTAGATGCTTCGCTACCGGTTGTCCGACCAATCTAACGTATAGTAATTAGCCTCTATAACCCTCCCTACAAATGTTCCAGCGCGAGTGTGGTGTTCGTTTTCATTCAGTTACTACCACCGTAGGTGCACCTATTCAGTAGAACTCTAAAAAATCACTCCAATTAGACTGGGAACTTTGGTAACTAGGCCAAGCGGTAAGAACTGAACCCAGGATGCGATGTATAGTAATTGTTCCGCTCGTCGACCCAAACTGGCTCACCATATGACGATTTTTTTTTGAAAAATGAAATGGGATTTCTCAAAGTGTTCGTTCATTATATGTTAGAATACCATACGAAACTTCCAGCGAAAGGGAGGCTGAGATCTAATGGAACCATATCTAGAATCTTCAGACGCCGTGATCAAGGAGGTTAATAAAAGCCATTCAACTGGAGCCGTTGTTTATCTAGGTTATGTGCTATTTCCCTCAATCCATACAGCCTATTGAATTCTAGGAGCTGCTC